TATCTTATTTTTTCCTGAACTTTTTTTTAAATAAAAATAATTAATAAAAAATGACTATATAATAAATAGCTAAAAATATTCATGAAAAATTTTAAATTAGGAAATTTGATCAAATTTTTTGATATGATGTGCTTAAAATTTTTATTTTGTATTTCAATTAAATATATACTCTAAATTAATATACTATATTTATCATATATTGTTTTTAAAAAAAATCTTTATTAATATGAATAAAAAAGTTTTTTTTTTTTTTTTTTTGCAATTCCAAACCTATATGCAGTTCGATCTTGCTAAGTTCAACCTTATATAATAAGGTAAACACTTTTCGTCATCAAAAGTAAGCCACCCGCTACCTGCTGAAGAGCCAGTGCTCGCATGCAGGAGAAATTATTCCGTGTGGACACTGGACGTTTAGAAGGCCAACCACTAGATAGAAATTATATATAATTTCATGGTGGATGTTGGAAGAGCCCTATGGTATGAAACTATGGAGGATATCTTCAAGACATCACTTATTTTTATTTGCTCATTCTCCTTTGAGGAGTGGAGATCAAAACCAAGAGTTGGTGCTGATGAAGTTCAGAGGTCTTATAGGTGATGATGTGCGTTGATATTTTTTTGCGACGATAAGTGACTAAGTTAGAGGATTTTAGTCAGGAATAATGGTCGAAGAATCGTATTTGAGCACAATGGTGATCGAAGGACCATAGTCAAGGAACAATGGTTGAAAGGTAGTAGCTAGGCAACAATATTCCGAAATGATGATGGTCAGATGATTGTAGTTAGGCGACAATGTTTAAAGAATCTAAGTTGGGCGACGTTGAGCTTAGGATTGAAGTCGGGTGACAATTGTTGGAGGATCAAATTCAAACAAAGGTGGTCGAAGTACATAACATCATGTGATGGTGGACAAGGGATCATAATTGGGCGATAGTGGACGGAGGATTATGGTCGAACAATGGTGGTCGGAGTACCATGGACGGGTTGCAATGATTGGATAAACATAGTCGAGCGACGGGGGTTGGATGACTGTAGTTATGTGATAGTGTTTAAAAGACCAACTTCAAGCAATTAGGGTTAGAGGACCATGGTGGAGTGATGTTCGTCTAAGGATCATAGTCATGCAAAGATGGTTGGAGGATCACAGTTGGGTAAGGGTGGTCATAAGTCTATAATCGAGTGATGATGATCAGAAGAATTTGGTATGGCAATGGTGGTCTAAGGATCATATTCGGGAGATGATGGTCAAATGACTATAGTCATATGATAATTGTCAGAGAATTGAAGTCGGGTGACATGGGTTGAAGGACCACAGTTAGGCAACATTGGTTAGAGATTTTGAGGACCATAGTCTGGCAACAACAGTCGACAAATCAAAATCGGGTGATAGTTTATCTAGGGTTAAGAAGCTTGATGTTTTATTTTTTTTGCCGATTTCAAAAAAAAAAAAATTGTACTAAAAACTGTTTGACAAAATAGTTAAAAAAAGCTATCCCAAACAAGACCTGTGATCACAAAAAATTTAAGAAAAAAAATCTCCATCTTAGGGCTACCACCAACATTCTTAACCTATAATTAGATAAATATAAAAGCTTATATAAACAAGTACATGACTTGTCAAGCTAAAGAACATTAATGAACAACATGAAGGCTTGAGGAGTACATTCACATCAATAAGAAGTTGGCTCCCTATCACCATGTAAAATTATTTCTTGACCAAAGGTTTTCAATTTCATGATCTTTTCTCCATACATTACATGCTCTTATGAATAGTCTCTATAGTTCACATGCAAATAGAATGGTACCACTTTGAACTTGATCTATGTGTGGTTTCTGATTAAAATGTTAATGTCCTCATTAATGCCACTTGTAGAGAGGTTTAATGAGGAAACAATTGGCTTACAATAATATAAATTTAAAGAGAATAAATATATGTAGGATAATTTTTTTAGGTTATAAATTAGGTATTCATATTTTGATTTTTTTTTTGAAGAATATAAATATCTTTAACTAACTTGATTGTTACCTTACATACCAAAGATGCTTCTATGAACTTATTACATGTTAGAAATTGAGCAAGAAGAATGAGATTGATTCCTTTTGTTTTAAGATTCAGGGGTGTTAAAGTCGGGTTGCGGGTTGGGTTCGGGTCAAATCCGATATTGACCCGCTACTATTCGACTCGACCCGAACCTGAGCCATTTTTGCAGACGGGTCAAAAATTTCAACCCGGACCCCACCCATCAGTTTTACGGATTGAACCGATTCGACACAATTAGCCCGGGTCAACAAAGCATCGCGGAACGGTTTGCGTGCGGAAGCATCAAGCTGGCAAGGCGAGAGGCACGAGGGCAGTGCCACAACGGTTTGCGCGCGAGCTGGGCAGTGGGCATGCGTGGTGCGTGTGCGAGATGGGCAACATTGTGAGGGTGAGCAGTGCAGTGCTGCAACGTTTTGATTCAGTTAGATTTCTTTGGCTTTGTTTGTTTCTTTGTTTCAGATTCCTTACCCAGTTACCTCATCTTCTATTCTTCTTGTGTTTCATATTCCTTACCTAGTTATCTTTTGCTTGTATTTCTATTTATGTATTTCTTCAAGTTCATTTGAATCTTTAGAAAATAAAATATAGAGATTCTTTCATGGTGATCAGGAGTTTTAAGAATGGAAAGATACTCAATCTTTTCTTGAATAGGAGTCAAAAGAAAATTAAGAAAAAAAAAATTCTAAAATATCAGAGAAAATCTCGACGTATGTAATTTGAAGTTTAATGCTCCGTTTGGGATAGCTTTCTTACTGCTTCTTAAAGTAATTTTCTAGTATAAAAATTTTAATTTTATACTAGAAAGCTGATTTAAAAAGCAGTAAAAAAGCCGCCCCAAACGAATCCTAAATTTTACTTAATTAGATCTTCATTTGATTAAGGTTTTTGGCCCAAAAAATTTCAATTACTTATGCAGGATTAGCTGCATTGGTTTTGGTTTGAAGCATGAAGGGGCTTGAAATGTAATTATGGTTTTGTTTATGCTCAGCTCAAACTATCTCCCTTATCTTTTGTAAGAGAAAATTTTAGTTATTATTTGTATGAAAGAAAACACAAAGTAATGCGGTGATATTTTTTTTACAAAGTTAAACATTAGTAACGCAGTAATATCCTAAAATAACATAAATATAAATTTTACGATTATTTAAAAAAATATGTGTAGCTTATGTTTAATGTTTATTTTGTTTAGTTTTCAATACATCAATTTAATTTTTACTATATTTAACTAATAATAGATGGAACTATATTTGACAAGGAAGGAACGTGTTAAGGTTGATTTTGATAATCTATTTATCGATCCTAGGCTTCGACCTTCAATATGGAGTTAAGATGAAAATGACAGGGATAAAGTTCAAAGAGCATATCTGGTGAAGGGACCTTATCAACCAAAAAATCATAGTTTTCACCAAATAATAATAGGAAATGTTGCTCGGAGATTTAATTTTAAATGGTTTGAAGAATAACTGAAATGGTTAGATTATAGCGTACACAAAGATGCTATATTTTATTTATATTGTTATCTATTCAAACCTTAAGAACACACAAATAAAAGTTAGGGTGGTGGTGATTCATTTGTAGGTGAAGGATTAAAAAATTGGAAGAAAAAAAAAACTATTAGCTCAAGTTGGAGATCTAACATAGTAGTGCTCACAATAAAACAAATCAGAAATGTGAAGATTTAATAAATGTTAAAGTAGTGTCCCTACTTTATGGCACAATAAAATAATAAAACAAGTTTGTCATTTTGTGGTCATGATGAGGCGTCTAACTTAGATAACAAAGGTAATCATTTAGAGTTATTTTATTTTCTTGTTGATCATAATAAAAAAAATCAAGAATGTTACTTTTGAAAATGCTATGCAAAATTGAAGTTGATTTCACCAAAAGTTTAGAAAAAAATGTATCGCTGCTGAAACATTGATTTCCATCATAAATAACATTGGCAATTCATACTTTGCCATTATTGTAGTTGAGAGTCATGATATATCAACAAAGGAACAATTGATAGTTGGTATGAAATATGTGGATAAGAAAGGATAAGCTATTGAAGTATTTATTGGTATCAAACATATTTCTTCAACTAATGCAGTTACACTTAAGACATTAATTAAAGTTATACTTGCCAAGTATTCTTTGAGCTTACATAGGAGATGTAGTTAAGGTTATGATGGAACATCCAATAGGCAAAGGGAATTTAAAGGTTTGGAGGCACTTATTATTAATGATAATCCTCAAGTATTTTATGTTCATTGTTTCGCACATCAACTCCAATTATGCTAGGTAGATGTAGCGAAGAATCTTTGGCAAGTGAAATATCTATTTGAGTTCACTTCTAGAATTATAAATATTGTTGGGGCTTCCTATAAGAGATCAGATGCTCTTAGAGTTATTCGGCATGAAAAAATATTATTGCAATTTAAGGCTAACAATCTAATAAGCGATCAAGGTTTAAATCAAGAGATTAATTTATAAAGATCTAGTGATAGTCCATGGAGTTCATATTTTCATACTTTAATTAGTCTCATGATAATGTATGCTAATGTAATAGAGGTGCTTGATATTGTTAAAGAAGAAGAGGTATATATTCAATAATCGGTTGAAACAGGTATTCTGATGGATATAATAAAGTTTTTTTATTTTATTATCACAATACATTTAATGATTTGAAATATTAGTGATTACAAATGAGTTATTATAATTATTACAAAGAAAAGATCAATACTTTGAAAATGTGATGAAATATGCCAAAATATCTTAATGACTATAAATATTGCGGGGGAATGAATAGAGTACTTTACTATATGAAGTATCACATTTTTGTAGTGTTTTTTAAGTTGAAATTTCAATTATGAATGATATATACAAAACTCGTGGTCGATTCGTCTTCATTGTTAATAGGAATCTCCAACATTAAAATATGGCTATTGTGATTAGATTATGGCTTCGTTTGGGATGACTTTCTTCTTGATTTCTAAAATAGTTTTTTAGTACAAAATTGAATTTGAAATTTTTGTACGGAAAAGCCATTTTAAAAAGCAGTACGAGAGTTGTCCTAAATGAAGCCTAAGTAACAAAATATGACTTTACAAGCTTTCAGCTGATGTCAACTTAGATATAGCATTTATGCATGTCTCTTATCATCAATAACATTGAAATTCTAAAAGAAAAATAAATCACTTAATGTTGTTATCTAGTCGAGTTCAAATGTGTTTGACCCAACTCAAAATTGGATATTTTGATTCTAATTCGACTCTTATAAATACTCATTTAAAGTTAGATTTTGAGTTAAACTACATTATATTTGAGCTAGTTGAATAAACTCTAAATCAATTTCTAGTTGGAGGGGTGCTCATAAATCAATTTCTAGTATGGAGTAGTACTCAAAGTCAGGTTGAAATCAATTTCTAGTGTGGAGCGATGCTCGAAATCAAGTCAAAGTCAAGCCAAGTTGATTTCAAGTTGAGCTAGTTTCAAGCAATATTTCTAGCGAGTTTCAAGCTTCGAGCTTTTAAAGCAGTCATAATCTGATTTGAAGAATTTCATCCAGTACTCATTATACAAAAAATATATTACAAGTCGACTACATCACACTCCTTTTCTCCCTTTTTTATTTACATTTTTGTTAATTAATCATTCTACAACTTTTTCAATGAAATTGTGGCATATTTCTTACTGCAAAAAAGATTACTACTTATGTTCCTTGCCAACACTGGATCAGAAGAATACATCAAAGGTTTCTTTGATATGATTCTACTGCAAATATTTGGAGCATAAAGTGATTTCTTATTGATTTTCATTCCCTCATCATTTCTCTTGCAATACTTACTCCTCTTGCTGTAAAGGTTGTTCGTTTTGGCAAGATCTTCAATGCATCTAACCTCAGATAAACAACTGAAAGACTCTGATTTTCCTTGGAAGAATTGGGATAGCCCTCTCCTGCAAAGATTAGAATTTATCTTTAGCTGCTGTAAAGACCCCTTATGTGCAGAGTAAGATCCCTTATGTACATAAATTTGTGATTCTTTCTTTTGTTTTTATTATTTTTTTGGCAAAATTTGAGGTCTAGATCACTGTTACAATGGAAAAAAATCTAAGAATACTCACTTGATTGGAAGATTTGCCATGAGCAATGATAAATCAAGGAGACGATCAGAAGAAGAAGAAGCATCATCCTCCATGAGGTCGCTCGCCGAAGAAAACACTGAATCATCAGATTCTTCATCTGAAATGAATCCAGAATCCAAGAACTTGCAGTCACCAAAATCCTCTCTTCTAGCCATTGGGAAGCCACAGAGAAATGAAGAACAAGCTTCTGATGAACAATTGTATGTATGTAGCTTCTTGATGTTGCTTTAAATAGGATCAGGAATAAAGGGGGAGGATTTAGATGATGAAGTATATTTTTTTTTTACTTGGATGGTACTGTCTCTCCTCATTATATATAATAAACATTTAAAGTTATCTTTTTTTTATTTATTTATGAGAATGCTATCCAATCTTGCCATAGGATAAGGGGCAAACTTTTTATTTTAGTTCATCCACATCTAGTCACCACTTTTGGGCATTAATTACTTTATTTTTTTTTTCTGCTATTATATAAATATAAAACCATAGGATAAGGGGCAAACTTTTTATTTTAGTTCATCCACATCTAGTCACCACTTTTGGGCATTAATTACTTTATTTTTTTTGTTTTTTTCTGCTATTATATAAATATAAAAAATATATATTTGGACCAATAAAAGAGCTTTGTTAATTATTTTAGTTTATTTATTAATATATAGAAAATACATTAATTAATTTATCCAAAAAAAAAAAAGTTTGGTCAACACCATTCAATTTTTGTTTAACAGATTAGGAGAAGGAGAGAAAAATTATCTTGCTGCAGCTGTGGCAAATAAGGTTGAAAGAGACAACCTTATCTCTAAACTTGTTGGATGAGATGGAATAAGGCAGGGAATCAAATATGGATTCCACTGCAATTTTTGGATTTTTGTTCGATTTTGTTGGATTATCATTTCCTTAAGAAAAAAAAACCAAGTAGAAGATCATACGCCAAAAAGAAAATAAAAGACAATTGCAAACAATCATGAATATCTAACTTTGGCAATATTTTAGAGGCAAAAAATTATCTTGAGATATCCTAATACATAACTCTTTATAATGGGCTTCAAAGTCATCTGATTTACGTTAAGATTAGTATTACTTAGGATATTATATATAATATTTAACTATGCAAATCAGATAACTTTATAAAACTGTTTTTTAGTTCAAATATTTTTAAATCAAAAAAATTTTGTACTAAAAATTCGTTTTTAAAAACAGCAAAAAAACTGTCTCAAACGAAACTTTAGACTGAAATCTATTGATTAATCCAACTCAATTCAAAGTCTTTCTCTCTCTCTCACTCTCTCTTCTCTTTTATTTCTATTCCAATTTCTAATTTTTTTTCAATGATCTCATCAAGTTTGTATGTCTTTTCTCTTTGATGATATGGTGAGTTAACTCAAACTTGACTAATTGAGATGAACTCAAGTGCAGGCTATGCGCATTCAAATTCAGCTTTACAATTTAGGATTAGATAAAAGTTTAGGCTTCGTTTGAGACGGTTTTTTTACTGTTTTGTAAAGATATTTCTTAGTATAAAAATCTCTTGAAAGCAGGAAAAAAAACAGCGGACTAAAACTGTCCCAAATAAAATCTTAAACTCATTCATCCCATCTTAGAATCTGATTGATCAACTTGTGATTTATGAAGATAAGAGGTGCATGTGTAAGAGAGTGTGTGTGTGTCAGGAGTTTATATTAAATTTACAGTAACAAATAAAATTTTAATACATTTGATAAACATTTATGAGATAACCAAGCATTCCCTCAATAAACATTAAATTTGAGCTAATAACAAATTTATTCATCATCTCAAACATTGGTCAAATGCCAACATTACAAAGCCTTCCTGCTGCTACCATTTCATTAGCAGAAGGTTTATTTCTAAATTGGTTCAACAAGTAATTCAGAACAAAGACAAAATGGAAATAAACTCGCAAGGGCTGAAACCATTAAACACCAAAAATCGTGCTCTAAGAGTTTCATTTTTGAGTTGGTGCAACTTCATGTCAAGAACTCTTGTCATACTTTCCAATTGTATTTCCCCTCGCATTTTTCAGGATGGTTTTATCAGCAGTGATGAAGAAACCAGAAATAGCAGCTGAACAATGAAAAAAAAAAAAAATGTAGATTTGGTTTCAATTCAGAATATATGCTAAACATACATGCCATGACAACTTCACTAGAGAGAGGAAAGATTCAGCTCATTTTCTACACTAGTGGTGATAGTATATGTTGAGAATTTGCAAAATGTTTCTTACAAAAGCAATCTATAGTGCAGCCACTAAAAAAGAGTAACAAATTAAAATAAATATATTGGAAAATCCATGGAAAGCCTTGAGGCTATGCTAGAAACAAAGACGATCCCTCAAAAAGGCGAGAAAATTATTCTATGGCGGTCCATCGGACGCTGTTCGGAAATCAGAACACTATGATACCCTACAACTTGAAGGTTATGCTGATGCTGACTATATGAGATTACCACTTGATAGAAGATTCACTTCATAATATTATGCACTTAAAAGGAAAAATCCTATAATATGAAGGAGCAAGAAGAAATAACATTTTTTTCAAGATCCAATGGGAATCCAAATTCAGAGTAATTGCTGAAGGTATTTACAAACTTTTATAACTTAAAATCATTTTAAAATATTTAAAAAATTATATGGGAATGAAAATCTATTTGTGATAATGAACCTGTCATTAGATTGCTCACAATCCTATCTATATGATCATATCAAAATATGGAAGTAGATAGATATTTAAAAGAACTAGAAAAGGTTAATTGTGTTCATACATTTCAACATAGTTTTGTGAACCATTTACCAGGGCTTTGCAAGCTACATTTAATAATATTATAAATAAATTAGAATGATATATCTACACCATCTAATTTGTAGGGGAGAGTTGATGGAACAAGAGGCCACAAACCCTTGCTTGCAAGAAACATCTCTCCACGGATTTTGTATACAAAGAAAAGAAAGTAGGCATGGAATGTTCTCATGAGCATCAATTGCCGAGTCCAATTGGATCAGCAAATATGGCAATGAGGATTATTTTTTCTTTTTGAGCTGTAGTGATTAATTTTTCCTTTTATTCTCTTAACAGTTTTTATGTATAAATACCCATAGAAAAGAACAAACAAATCAAGTTTTCTTTGCCTCTTCTTCTTTTCACATTAAGCTTAAAAATATTTGAGTTCTCAAACTAAATTAGGCATCAATATGCTAAATGGATTGAGCTTTTACAGAAATATTATTTTGTCCTTAAACAATGTGTTGGAGCTTAAGAATAAAACTGTGATATTTTGAGCAAAAATTTTGGTGCCCTTCTATATACCTCCATAGTATTATTAATAATAAAAGAGAGTATGTCACTTGTAAGAGATAGAATAATAATAACTATTCTTTGCTTAATAAAGTGTTTTATATACTTCAGGCTAGATTAATTTTGTATGATGGCTTATATGGATGATAGAAATGTTCTTTCTTCGTTGGAGTTAGCCTATTATGTTGCTCTATTTTTCTATATATACATATAGACATTGCTTGTAATAGAGAGATTTGGAGATAATAAAAATGAAGGCTTTCGCCATGTTATTTTTGATTCTGTCCTGAATTGTATTATTCAGGTGGTGGATTCTTCTTCCAAGGAGTTCTTGGATATGTGCCCGAACACGGCCACGGATCATCGGTGGATTCTCGAGCCCCTCCAAGTCTGGTTGTC